CGAGAAAAGAGGCTTCGCACGGCGCTCCGTGAGCTCGGTGCTGATCAGCGGGAGCTGCTGCCCGAACTCGCACGCTGCGCCTTCACCATGAGGTTGCTGTTTCTTCGGGGACTTCTGGTTTGAAAAATGGAATTTGCGGCTATAACCCCGACACGTAGACCACGACATAAAAGTAGGGTGTTTTATTTAAAAGCCACAGCCGTGCAGCGTGTGTGCGTGTTGCAGCGCTTGACTGACAGCTCCACCTGCTGCCTAGATGGAGGACGACGTCGTTTTCCCGGTGGCGGGAGCCATGTTCTTCCTGCAGGTAGTGTGTTGCCATGGTAACCGAGCCCGGCGCACAGAAGGCCTGCACAGCGGGAAACAAAGCTGGAGTTCTGAGTGCTTAAATTAAAAAAGCCGAGTGTTTAATGCTTATTACAAACAAATAGTGTGCGAGGACAGGGAGAAGCCTGAGGAGTCGGAGACTTGTACTTCTGTGGCCAAAAGAGAAGATTTTCTTCTCCTGGCTGTGCATAAGACTGAGACATGTTTGTAACCTATTTTGAGTAGCTAAGTAATTCCACAATCTAGCCCTAATGGTAGTCCTTTTCCACCTTTTTTTTTTTTTTGCCAAAAGTCTAGCCTCATCACTGCTGTAGTTGAGGTTAATCCAGTTTCCTGGCATCAACTCTTTGCTTGGTTGAATAATGTGAAGAGCAAACTGATTTACATTTTATCTTGTGATGAGAGAAAGGAAAAAAACCTGTTAATTGCAGTAAACTGAAAAACTTTGAATAAGCTGTAAGTTTCCTGATGTGTAAGAAATCTGTTTTCAGAGATACTTCATGAGAGGGATAGTCAAATCAACCCCTCTTGGGATATTTTTGAAGGGCTGGTTTTCTTCAGCTGATGTCATCATTTTAGGGTAGCTAATTAATCACCTTTAGGACTTTCCAGATTTTGAACACTTGGAGTGGCTTAGGCTTTGGGCAGTTGATTCAGCAGAATTGAGTTCTTTCCCATACTCTTACGTAAAGTACAGTAGTTTACATACTACTGCATTAGGTAGTACAACAGTCATTACATATTGCATTGATAAAACAACTTGGTTTTAGATAAGGCAGTATTTTGAATTGGCAAAAGTTCTGCATTGTAGTACTGAAGATTGGAAAATTAACTTTGAGGGAAGGGGATTTTGTTTCCTATCTTCATACTTTTAAGACTTTTACCATTTGTGCGTTTTTTCATCAACAGCTCCTTTTCAGGTTATAACAAATATATTAACTTCAAGCCTATTTTTTATGTTGACCAATTTCTCAGAATGCTTAGGTACCCTATTTACTCTCTTTTACATATTCAATGTGTAAAAGCATTAAGTTAGTGTATTTTCTTTGAAAATTGTGTTCTGCATCATTAATGTGAGGAAACAAACAATGCACTTCTAGGGCAGCTAAGGCCATCTATGGCTTTGCATACCAGCTGTGTCTGTATGTGTCTACCTTGTGCTGCTACTGGCACTTGTCGGCTGTCTGTTTAGAGCTGTTTCCTGCTCATAAGTTACCAGAAAATTTGCACAGCTAAGTGAATACTTCTCTTTTAGCCTGGTTCACTGAAACAGATCAGAAGGAAAGAAGTAGAAGCCAACAGTTGGATCTGCTTAAGTTTGTGGTGAAGATGCGGTCTCAGATTTCCGTTTAAATGCCCTTTAGTTAGGGGTGCAGCCGAAGAAGTGGTCTTGTGTCTTGCTTCATTTTTGGCCTTGTAGTGTTCTAATGGTAGCGTAAGTGTTTATATAGCTGCAGATTGAGCTTGGGTAAGAAGTGGATCTGTCTGAGTACTACAAAATTTATCTTGTGAAATGTAGAATTAATTTCCTTGTGTAGTGATGTCCTGGTACAATAGGAGGGAAGGGGGAGAGCTACCCTTTTTTTGTGTTTACAGCAGAAATGTTCCACTACACTGTCTTTACTACTGTGGAACAGTGGAAGTTGTGGTCTCCACATTGTCTGGAGGGTAGAGGTGGTTCTTGGGAGGATAAAGGGAAGGGAATTACTTTAAATTTTAATGAGAATTTGCAATAGTAAATTGAATGTAGGCAACAGTATCTGGTATGATGGAACCAGATGCTGTCTGAGATACAACTACATGAAATGGAGTTGATGGCATAGTGCTTCTCAGAGGAAGAGGCTAAGCTGTCCCCATCTCCTGTTCTGCATCTGAGGTGGATTTGGTGCTTGTCTGATACCATAGTAAGCTGATTTAGTTCTGTGCAATAGCAGAATACTAGTTGAGTGAAAAACTGCTCACTTTTTGTTACTTATCCTGCCATATTTAGTTGAGTCAGCTTAATTTGAACTGACAAGTGTTAGAACTTGTCCAGAGGAGGTACAGGAAGAGATGGGGCAGGCAGTCTTTAGCTTTTAGTAGTGGTGTGTTGTTAATTTGGTTTAGTCACACTGAAATAATATTTGGGGGGCTGGATTCTAGTTTTGGCTTTTTTTATTAGTGGACAAATCATGTTCCACTGGTATACCTTGGTTCTTGTGATTGTTCTCATTTCCTTACTGGGTGGCCAGTTGAAGTGAGTGCTTGTCACTCAGCTGCAGTTTAAATGTGCATTAAACATGAAAACTGTTACATCAAAAAATTAGGTGCTGCCTATTGCAAATTACTTCGTTTCAAAATACCAGCTAATTTAGAGTAAACCAAAGTTTGAAATACCTGAAATAGGGATAATGCCACACCAATTCAATTGTAAGGAGAAATACTGAATTACTGTTTGTTTAGGGAGCATTGTGTCTTCAGCCGTACCTGAATGAATCTAACTCCTAGCTTATGACAGAATGCTTTGGGACCAAAAGGGTGCATCTGAAGCCTGGGTATACAAAACACACCGTAACTGTAGTTGCTCTATAATCTTAACATTCTTTGCAGTTCTTCTCTACATGCAGTGCATGCCTAAGATCCTGCTTTGGTGCAGACAACTCAGAAACAAGTTTGTAGTTATTCCTGTTATAGTTGAACCAACAATTGTATTTTTTCCTGAGAAAATGTGTAGTGCAACTATTCCATCAGGGTTTGATTTCCCTTCTTACAGCTAACTGATAGTATAATCCTGTTACCTGTATTGTAACACTAAGTTTACTTGCTTCTCAGAAGATGAGGGAATTTGTTCTGTTGGATAAACAATTTGCAGTAATTTATAAGAATTTAATGTCTTTCTTATGTTTTGATAAAGTTCTCAAATGAATTATTTTGGATTTCTCACTTTGTGTCTGGTAGTAACAACACTGGCCATGAAGATTTACATAGTCAGGGCTTCTTAAAAGTAGCTTTGTCTTTTTGCAGCATATGGTTTCCTTAAGTAATCGGAAAGGTGCTATTGAAATTTGTTGTCCTATGCTATATGTATAAGAAGGTGCACGCATTCTGGTATCTTAGTGTACTATAATAATTTGTCTGAAATCTTTTAATTTCTGTTTAAATTTTTTAGTCTGCAAACGTGGAGGCCCAGTGTGCAGGTGTCTTGGAGGATAGTCCACGTCCGTCAACAACCAGTCAAGGCTATGTTCTGCCGGAAGGAAAAATCATGCCAAACACAGTCTTTGTTGGTGGAATTGATATAAGGGTATTTATATACTTTTAATTGTCTAAGATCTATATAGGGCACTTCGGTGGGAAGGAAATGGGAATTTAGCTCCTGGTTTCTGTGTTGTGTTTGGTTTTTTTTATATAATGTGTGTCTTGTGAAGTATTGCAGTGTCATAACAGAAGTCTGGAACAGATGATGTAGTTCTTACAGTAGTAGAAGATGGGCTTAAAAATGGTGCTGGCTGCTTTAAATCAGTTTTAAACAGTTGAATGTGTTTAAAGAATCTGAAGACTTGTTTCTTTTAGATGAATGAAGTAGAAATTCGTAGTTTCTTCGAACGATATGGTACTGTGAAAGAGGTGAAAATCATCACTGACAGAACTGGTGTTTCCAAAGGGTGAGTAGAACATGAATGGTTTGTTTCAAGTTGCTGCTTGTATGGACTTAATTCTGTCATAGATGTGAGCAGCAACTTAACAAGGTTGACAAGCTTAAGCCTTGGTGCTAGCTACAGTTCACTGTTGTGGTGAATAAATTTTGTGAAACATGTAAATCTAGATTGCCCCAAATCTGCATAATCTTGATTTTTTGCTTCAGTCTCTTTTCAGGAAAAATAAGGTCATTGATACTTAACCAGTGGACACAAAGCTTGAAACTTGTGTAATGCTTATGCAGACTTTTCTGTTGTAGGACTCGTATGATGGCTAGAGTAGTTAACAACCATCTGGATAGAGTTTAAGGATGTTTCAGAGGATAGGGTAGATGTTTTTTTTCAAGGCAATGGCACTGTACTTGTGTAACACTCAAGGATAAGTTACAGAGGAAATGGCCAAACTTACTTGGTTGAATGAATGGTGAAAGCTAAGTTTGTGAACGAAATTGAGGTGAGGGAAGTTTCCATGGTATAAATAGAAAAATTGAGTTGTCTGTGGTAAACCACTTAAATAAGGTTCTGTAGGACCTAAGCTTGTTGCATTCTGGGGAAGCTCTCCTAGTTTTGAAGCTATCCCTGCTTTGAGAAGGAGGCTTCACCCTCTGAAGGTTCTTTCCACCCCAAATTTTTTTTTTAAGATTCCATGAGCAGATGCTAAGAAGCGAGGTTTTTCTTAGGTGTATGTAGTGATGTGTGAGCTGGAAAATTTTTATTTCCTCAGCTATTGTTAGTTTTCATGGTGAATTCTGATGTGCGATTAGCCTGTGTTTGTTCTGAATATAGATAATGAACTGGCATACTCCGTTGATTGACACAACTGTTCTCTAATGCTCTGAAATTATCTGTATTTTCTAGACTAAATAAACAACTGGGGCAGTGAAAGAAAAAAACTTAATGCCAGCCTTCAGGGATCACATTGCCCAGTGCTGCTATGCTTTTGTAATGCCTGCTTTAATCCAAATTTAGATAGTAAATTCAGAATTTGGCTATTCAGATCCTAATACATCAAAGACTTTTTACTTTTGAGTTAGCAATATAAACAGTAGTGCTCATTTTGAGTAGCTGAAATGGAAGAATCACCCTTACGTATATTTCATATTATTCTAGAACGTGGCGTTCGACTCTTTATCTGGCCCAGCAGTATTATGCTGCTGTTTAGCAGCAAATACATTTTCATGCTGAATTATAAACTGATGTCCCACTTTTTACTTTGGGATTGCAATATAACGTGGCTGACATATATGCTGTTAACTGGTCTTGTTCAAAATAATTTAGCTAATGAAATAAAAATCTGGTTATTGAATAACCTCATTTTTTTCTCTTCAGGTATGGATTTGTATCTTTCCTGGACAACGTGGATGTTCAAAAAATTGTAGAAGTAAGCTCTTTGTCTAAAGTGCCTGAAGAAGTTGATTCATGAAGGCTGGATATATTCTGGGGAAAGCAAGTCATGTACCTTGTAGAGTAAATTAGGACAAGGAGAGTCTAGGGCTGCCCAAAAAGTAAACTGTGGAAAATCTCTATTGGTGGTAGAATCATTGTATATATTTACTTAAACAAGAAACAAAATTTGGTTTAGCCTTGGTGTACTTGAACATCTCATGTTGTATTTCAGGTCATTTTCATTCATGTGCTTGAAAGACTGGTGTCTGCCTACTTGCTTTCTGTGTTGGATAGCTGTCATAAAACTCCTGTGCTTATGACAGATGTATAGACCTGGCAACATCATTATTGGGATTAACAGTACCATAGGGAACACAAAACTTTTTTTTTTTTTAACTTAAGTGTCAGCTGGTGAATTATGTGTTTCTGTATTTATTTTTTTCAAGCCTCCTTCAGTAGAAGATGGCAACAGTTCACATGGTTCTGTGCATGACAGGATTTCAGGAACAGTTAAATAAACCAAAACCCACTTGTCAGACTGGTCAGAGTATTTCATCTTTTTTCCACCCACATCTTTATTCTGTTTTTATCAGTATGAGAAGATGGATCAAATAAGACATTTTTATACAGCTATTATAATAATTTTGCTTGTTTTTGCAATGAACAATAAAGTTGCTGGTGTCTGTTCAAAGTACATTATTTAGCAGAAAGGGGAGAAGCTTAGCTAGGTGTCTTAAAATTACAAACTGCGTATTTTCTTCTGAAGCAGGCAAGTCCGTAGTGTTGCGTGAGACAGTCTAGATAAACTGTATCTTCATCTGATACCGACTTAATGCTTCGTACTAAATTTGTGTTAATTGGGGTAAAACAAAAAACTTCCACTTTTGATGTGTAAAATGTTAGTGAACCTCAGTGTAGGCCCTGACTGTAAGAGAGTATCTACTTTAGGTAATGGCATGGCATGTGTGCTATGCACACCTTCATAGGTAGATAAACATGCTTCTTGTCACCATCTTGACAGAGACTGAGAAATCAGATGCAATGGTAATTTACCTTCTGGGAGTTCTGTGTGGTGAAGTTCCCGAGTACCTGAATAAAGTTTATTCAGCTTAATTCCATGTATTAAAGCAGCTTTCTATTCACCAGACTTTGACTGTAATCTTGTTGAGAACAGAATCCTACAGGCCCTCTTCTACCTTCAGTTCAAATAGATCTTGAAATGTGAGGATGTTGTGGGGTCACTTCAGCCTACATTCATTAGTGGATGTTCTTAGTTTTCGATCAAAGCTGTTTCTGTGAATAATACAGGGTTCAAATTCTGCAGGGAGGGGAGCATGCTTGAAATTCTTCCTATGCTCTTGTTATGGCTCCAGATACTGTGCTGGCAAAACAATACCACATCATTGGTCATTGGAAGTCTGAAATCTTCTGTGTCAACTAGCATTTAGGCAGAACTTGCAGAATGAGAACTTAAATGAGTCTCGGGTATTTGCTGACTACTGAAGCATGCTTCCAGCTCTGTTTTGCAAGTCTTTCAGATGCTTATGTTCCTGGGTTTGGGTGTTGAGGAACATGTAAATAATATTTCAGATTCTCTTTGTCGTTGATTAATCTGTGTGGTGCATAGATCATTTAGCCAAAAAAGTTGAGAAATTCAAGCATGTTTGTTGAATGTTTTGAAGGAACACATGGAAATTTCTCTGGAGAGAACACAGCAGCATGCAGGTAGATGGTAGTGGTTAGGTAGCTTCCTTTTTTCTTTAGTGTTAGGTGGGCCACTTCTAACATGGTATATGAAGTCTTGTTAGGAAGCTTGTAGGAAGAAAGGTAAGTGGCAATGTAAATGTGATTTCAAGGGAACTTAAGCTGTTGTCATTCTACATTAATAACCTGAGGCAAGAATAGTTTGAATATGTGTATAGAAGCAGAAGGCTGATAGTCATTAATATGTATCTGCAGACTTAGTTTATGTTGCTATTAAGGCAAGTGGCACATCATTGGTTTGGAGAGTCAGTGAGAAGGCAAAAATGTGCTCAGAACATGGCAGTAAACTAAAGCTAAAAGGCATAAGTTGTTCAGGTGGGAGAGAAGGATGAAGGCTGTTGAGCCTGTATGTGAGTAGTCTCCTTAAAATCAAGCAAACCACACACCTCACTGAATCCTCAGCTTACAGAGTAATCTGTCTTTCAGTCACAAATCAACTTCCATGGCAAAAAGCTGAAACTGGGGCCAGCTATTAGAAAGCAACAGAACTTGTGTGAGTATATATAAACAGATTTGTTCATATCCAAGTATATTCACAAATTATATTTTTCTTAATTACACAGTTATGTCTTTGCAAATCTTTTATATGATGAAATAATGTATGTCACAATTGAATCTCAGTTCTGAATTTTATGACTTTGCTACATGTGTGATTTTGTGAGATTTTAATAGTAACTCAGGTTCATAGCCCAGTACAATACAGTTAATGTTAAATTAACTCAAGTGTTTTGACATTTTTTTCCTGCATGAATTTGGATTACTAATTAAATACACGTGAAAATGTCTTAATACTGTATTTTTATTCACTTTAAAACAAGGTTCTTATGTACACCCGAGACCATTAGTCTTCAGTCCTCCTGCTCCACAGTTCCATAGTGTATGGAGTAGTCAAAATACAGAGACATACATGCAGCCTCCCGCTGTAATGAGCCCAGTAACACAGTACGTTCAGGTAAGGCTGTTAACACCACTGATTTTTGAACCACAATTCAGTATTTTTGAAAGTGTGATCATACACATCTTGAGGAATATGTATTGAGATTCCAGTCTTGCCTCCTCATTTTCATGCTACCTTTTAGACCACTTTAAAAAAATGCCAACAATGTTGAGGAATGTATTCAGTGGTGTAATCTCTTCATAAAAAAAAAAAACAAACAGGGAGACCCTTTCTATTTTGAAAATGAGAAAACTCTTGAAGGTGGATGTAAGATTTAATTATGTAACAGTTCTTACGTAGTCTTGTTACTTGTCACAGATGCACTTCACAAATCAAATGCATCCAGATATTGGATGTACTGCTGCTCTGCTTCAAAATAAACCAAAAACTATAATTTTTTAAAAAGTATGGAACCAGGAATTGACTGTTGTACATTTTTTTCCTCTTCCTAGCAAAATAAATTGTTTCTGGACAGCTGTTGTCTTTGGAACAATGTTATGGCATCTGCTGTTAACAGTTGTGACAAGTACAGTATGTCTACAGGACTTCTATATTGGTACTTTATGGAATACTTTTTACCAAGATGCAGGCAGAGTAGTTTACAACCGTTTTGTGAGTCCTGAACTATGAATACAAGGCCTTTCAGATTATGGTCTCTTCCAGTCTTAACCCTATATGATACCCTTAACCCAATACAACAGGGCAATATTAATTGCAGGCTGACTCTGTTTTGTATATTTTCCTTAATGAAGACGAGCAAACTGCAGTGATGGTGGTATATTTGATGGTAGTATATTTGATGCTCTTAATTTTACTGGGAGAGAGATTGTGTAGGAGAAACTAATTCTCTTGAATGCTGGAATGTGCGTTTATCTGTTCTCTGAAATTGTAATACTTAGCTTGTCTTTGGTTCCAAGAAACCAACCTGCAAGTTGTAGTCCTTTATTTCATGGTAGTTGGTCTTTTTCAGGTCACCTTTAGAAAGTTATGGGATGAGTTGTACTTCTGAAACTACTTAAAAGTAACAACTACAAGCAGATGTGGGATTTTCAGATATATAGTATGTTTTTTAGAATCCCACTTTAGAGATTTTTAGTGCCTGAAGTGCTGAAGCCCTGTAGGAAATCTGTGAGGGTTGTTTTTAAATAATGGAGCTAGCCTGAAAGGGGAATTAGAGTAACAATGTGACTACTATTTCTAAAAATGTGCTCCTGGCTTTATAAATACCTCTACAAACATCGTTTTATTACCTTGTTTCAAACTTGCATTTTTTAAAAAAAGCTTTATTTTGCAGACATATCCATACAGTTCACCAGCTTTACTGATACAGCAGCAAGTTCCTGTAGGATATCAGCCAGCTTACAACTATCAGGTATGTAATCTTTAGTGGCAGCAGAAAGACCTGATACCTGACAGAACTTGAGTGAACAGTGTTAACTGGAGTCTGATCTGTGTTTCTGTGAATTCTGTTTCCCTTCAACTTCTGCTTCACAGAAATGAAAAGTAGAAAGAAAATTAGTGATTTTTATTCTAAGGCCATAAAAACTGTTGAATAACTTGGCATACTTCTTAATAGTTTAATTTTTTTTTTAATTATAAGAATTGAAATAACTTGAAATTAGTAAAAGTACATGAATCTGTAGTACTTTTTGTGGGAGGGAGCCTTTCATTTGCACATGCTGTAGTGTGTGTAGTGGATATTAGTTATTTTAAATGGAATTGCTGAGTCTCAGGAGACAATATAAATGTGGGATGTGTATAGAGTGGGCTTGTGCTCTTGAGCTCTACAGATGTTTGGGAGGGGACTTTGCTGATACTGATTATTTTTTTAACTCTGAATGTGTGAGTAAGTCCTGTACTGAAATCAAACTACAAGTAGTTCAGTAATTGCAAGTAACTAGGAGTTTCAGATGTTTTCAGTGTGACTGTTCTGTTTCTCTTTATTTTCCTAATTATTTTTTAAAATGGAATGAAAAGAAAAAGGAGATAGTTGAATTTTTGGGAAGGATTGCCTAGTGCTAAGCACTGTATGAGGTACACATGAAAACATTATCTTGCTGGACAGAAGAGTGAACTACTGTTTAATAACAAATTGACATATGTTATAAATGGTGGCTCTTAAAGAAAAATTACTTGACTTTGTTGGAAATAATTTATTTAAAGCTGGTTCTCATGTATTTTTTGTTTAAGGTTCAACCACCATGGCTTGCTGGGGAGCAAAGAAATTATGTTATGCCTCCAGTAAGTACAAAGTTAAAGTTCTGGAACTTTGTCTTAATTAGCGCACTGTTTTGACAGCTTGACACAAAAAAAAAAATTCCACCTGTTTGCCTGGATCTGTATGTATCTGGTCTATACAAATCTGTAGCTGGTCACAGAAGTAATTGTTTAGAATTTTCTACTGACATGGTGCTTTTTTAGGAGCTGCCTGGCAGAACAGAACTACCTGTTTTATTGTGTTACTCTGTACTTACTAGTAATAGAATTCTGGAATTTCAGCATGAACAGAATGGGTTTTCATGAAAAGTGGTCAAATTGGCTGTAAAAGCTGCCTGTTCCCTAGGAGCATCTGGAAGGATGTGTGCATAAGGAGTAAATGCTTTATTCACCCTCTTTGGTGTTGTAGTTAAACTGCACTGGGTTCTCAATGGCAAAACTACAGTGTAAACAGAGGGAAGCAGGGAGTTCTAGAAAAGCTGCAAAATGGCTTGCACTTTTCTAGAGCCTTTTACATCTTCAAAAAAACCCTAGTATATTAGTATGAAGCAACCCTCAAATGAGAAAGGACCTGTGTAGAGAAGAGCAGTTTCTGGTAGTAGAGAATTAGATGTTTACTTTCCCTTCTCTCATTTTGCTTCAGTGCTTAAAGTTACCTGCTGGTTGTCACAAATTCTCAGTGAACACCTTTATTCCTCAACATGCTTGACAACAAAACCTGTATGTGGAGGAAGTAGGTTGAGGAGCTAACTCAAGAGTGATTACAGACCTTTATTAAAATATATCCTCTTTGGAAGGAAGTAAAACTGTTTTGATAAATTAATACAGATCAGGATACAGTATTTCCTTCACTTCTGAAAGTTTATCAAAAGTGGAGATAAAGTTGGCATAGCTTATGGGTAGGTGAGGAGCAATGACAATGCAACTATACATGTTTTCCAAGGGTTATTGAAACACTTGAATATTAAAAAAATTCCACAGGTTTATACTTCAGTAAGCTATCACTGCACTGAGGATCCAGAATTTATCCAGACAGAGTGTACTGTTCCAGAGCCAGCACAATCATCTAGTAGCAGTCCACAAAAGGTAAATGATCTCAAACTTTTTTTTATAAATCCTATTATCAGAAATTTGCACATGAGGATTACATGGCTTGGTGAAGGGGGCCTCTTAACGAGTATCCTAGAAGTTAAGGTTTACCATTGCTGTTTTAGCCAGTTAGTCAATCCATGGCATCTCTGTTTGTGTACCTCTTCAGAAGCCTCATGTTTCCTTGAAAATATTCATGCTTATCTATAGTGCTGAAAGCTGTATAAAATGTGTTCTGCTTCACCAGGTACAAGGTTTTCAAGTGACAAGACTTTATTTGCTGAGAATTACAGGGAAGTTGCAGGTACTAAAAAAGCAGCTTAAGTAGCACTGCCTGCTATCCTGTGCAGATTTATTTTAACCTTGATGCATCTGAAGTAGTAAAGTTTTATTCCCTTCCTCACTTTTTTTGTGGAAGGTGACCCTGGTTTAGCCAGTGGTTGGCTCTGAATTGAATTGTCTATAGGAGACTCCATTTTGCAGCTGTCAGCCTTTTCCATAGCTGAACTGCCATGTCACTTGTCAGAACTGTTATGTTGTAACATATAAGGGTGATAATGAGTTACCAAGAGTTAAAAAAAGACAAAAGAGCTCAGGAAACATAGGGCAGTTGAGAGGAATCTTGAATGCAGAATAAACACTGTGATAGACCCACATTGCTAGTAGTGGGCAAAGTAAGAAAATCAGTATTGTTTTAGATGTGCTTAACTGTATTTCAGAAGTCTGTGGACAGGAGCATACAGACAGTAGTATCCTGTCTCTTTAATCCTGAGAATCGTCTGGGGAACACCTTTGTATCACAAGAAGACTACCTTAAGGTATGCACTGAAAGCAAAATTAAATCCCTAAAACATGGCTGGCCTTTGGTTTATTCACCTATAGGATACCATAAGGATAAAGAGATTTGCATCTGGAATGCCATTAGGACTTCTTTTTCTTGCCCATGCTCTGAGATATATGGGTTTGGCTTACAGCTACTTGATGCTGAAAACAAGTGCTGAAAGTGGATTCAGGGAATTTAACAAAGACTGTGGTAAAAAAATGTGAACGATTAATGAACATTTAGAGCATAAAACTGGCTAATCATTTCTCAATGACAAATTGCTGAAAGGGCAGTGGGTTGCCCCCTGCTTTGAATAGAGAATGTTGAGTTGGAGCCTTGATAATCTTTACACCAGTAAGTACCCTCTATGGATGGTGACTATACTTTGTGTGAAATGTCTACGCTTTAACCAGTAAATTAGACCAGGTTAATGGCTAGTCATTTTTGCTCCTTGCTCATTCTTTGTAGAGTTGCAGTATCTGTGTTCCAAGTGGTATTTATTTCTGTTGTTTAATGTTATATTTTAGAGTTGGCTTTCTTTTTTTAGAAGGACAGGCATGTGAACTAGGGACATGTGCTGTGAAGCCAGGAGTACAGAAGCTTTATCGATTTTGGAACTGAGTGATAAGAGTAGACTATCTTGAGATATTTTGATGAAAACTTGAGTTGCTTTATTCTGATTGTTACCTAGAATTAATTTTTTATCTGTTCTCCTATCCCATTCCAGGAGAGAAAGCCTCATCACTTCAGAAAAGGAAGAGCAGTACTCAAAAGTGTTTGATCAACAAAGACTTTAAAGTATCTAAATTCATTAACTTGATGTTACTACAGTTCAGTTTAGCAGTGTGTGCAGTATAACCTTTTTCAGAGTTGCTTCAGGTTGAAGTTTGTGTTCCTATTCTACCTGTTTCGATGCAGTTGGTTTTGCTTTGTTTGAAGTTTAAAGTTGTAAGAGTTGACAGACTTTCATGTTTTATTAATAGTTTGCATGCTTCCCTGATAACTAACTGAAATGTTAAAGTTTATATGGTTGTTTGGTGCATGTGGATTTTCTTCTGAGTTCTAAGGTACAGTTTGCATGTTAGGCACAGTTTTTTCTTAACCCATAGTTTAAGTGGCTAATACCTAACTGGTTACCTCTTGCAGTTTAAAAATGGAAGCAGCTATTTGCCCAAGAGGTTTTATTTTAAAACTGAGCTCTTAATCAGTGGAACAGAAGACGTCAAGTTGTAACTCAACTGAAGCCCTTTAAGTCCTGGTTGTCTTAAGACTACCTAATCAATGTTATGTTCATTTATGACAGTTTATGTACCTGCAGTCTTGAGCATCACTATCAGTTTTGGGAAGGTAATTAAGAGAATCCTGAAATTCCTGTAAGTAACTTAAGATGCAAGAATGTAATTAGCTGTATTGGTTATTCAGTAGAGTATGCTTTTTTACCTGAAAAATTTTAGCAATAGCTGTATGTTAAAACAGTGAGAAAATACTGCATGTAAAATATGCCTTTGTGATGCAAACTGTTAATCAAAGTATATCTGTAAGCCTATTTTAATAATTACGTAGATTTTAGTAATGTATTTTGAACAAATAAAATAAATTTTTATTTTGACTTGGCTCCCAAACCTCTAGTGACATGCTGATGTAATACTAGAGTTAATTGTAAGCTACTTTGAGAAAGACATACAGTATAATAAAGATTCATTGAAGCTATTGAAGACTTATTACTCTGTATGAGAACTCTAGTTAATACAAATTCATAGTAACAATTTATTTTGTAGTAGTTTTTAGCTGCAGTTTTGAAATGTAGAAGTGAGAATTGTGTTCAGTCATGAATGTATGTTGGGTCCAGTGCTGCTTTTCTCCTACTCCAATACCTCAGTTTCTCCAGGCTAAAAGGGAAATCAGGTGTCTTACTGAGGATGTGTACATGAGCTTGAATGGGATTGCATGTTCTACTTCAATTTTCCAGAAGGTTTAGAAACAGTAATGGCTAGGAAAAGATTTATCCAGAAATAGATGTTGAAGAAATACATACAAGGGAATATGACTTGCTATAGACCTGGACATTAAAGGGAAGGAAGGGGTGGCAGGGAGGTGGAATAGAGATTATATAGGCTTTGGATGTACTTGATGCAGAAGTGTACTCATGTTCCCATGGCACAAAAAAACCAGAAAAACCAAAGCTGGTAAGACTGTTCCTTGTCACTAAAGACTCTTTGTGAAGTGATCCCATAATACTAGTTTGCCATGTTTTTTTTCAGACTCTTCTAAAGCTAGTGGCTTGGTTATACTTCTGTGTTACCAGCTTCTCACTAAAGGCTTCTTTTTTAATCTTACACAGTTAAACTCTATATTTAAAAAAAGACGAGATCTGGAGTTTTCTGAGTAATCAGGAACCTTTGTAACTTTACCTAGTAAACAGCATACTTGGGCTGTTAAAACTGTGATGTCAGTTTATTGATAAAGGTAACTGCTTCATTGCAAATGCAGATTTAATTTTGGCTTAAATGTTGTAGTTGGCTTGATTGCCCTGGGATGTATTTGAGGCTTTATGCTGTAGCTATAGGAAAACATGAAGTGTGTATGTGTAGTTCTTATTGAAGAGTCTCAGCACCAAAAGAAGAGATAAAACAGAATATATCTATGTAGAGTGCATATTTTTTGTTTATTTGACCAAGTGTTACCCATAGGACCATCTGGTAAGTGAGCTGATTGTTCAGCATGTTTGAAATGGTGGAGCCAGTTATGAACAATTCTTACCAGCATGCTGAGAAGGCTTATCACAGTGAAATGCATAGCCTAGGCCTTAGGAGTGCCATTTATTTTCTCTTCCATTAGATCATGTTGTGCTGGCTTTGTTAGCCATTTTTCACCCGTAGGAAACTTACTTTTTTTTATTCACATCTGGGAATTGTACATTTTGTGGTATATGCCAGTAAAAGTAACAAGTTGTAACTAAGAACATGCATTTTAAATGTTCTTCTGAAGTACCCTATAAACATAACACAAAACAGTAGGTAAATCTCTTTTGTGTTACATTTGGAAAGTTGAAACATCTGTTTAATATGATTGTAGCTGAAGGCATTTCCAGAATAGGTGCAGAATTTGAGCTGCTTGCAAATTTGTACCTCTTGGCTTACCGAATGAAGTGGACCCTGTCAACTGTGAACTATTAGGGAGCAGTGAATTCATAGAATCATAGAATCTTAGGGGCTGGAAGGGACCTCAAGAGATCATCTAGTCCAACCCCCCTGCCAGAGCAGGGTCACCTAGAGTACATCACACAGGAACTCATCCAGGTGGGTTTTGCATGTCTCCAGTGAGGGAGACTCCACAACCTCCCTGGGCAGCCTGTTCCAGTGCTCTGTCACTCTCACAGTAAAAAAATTTTTCCAGATATTCACCTTGAACCTCCTATGCTCCAATTTACACCCATTACCCCTTGTCCTATCACTGGTCATCACTGAGAAAAGCCTAACTCCATCCCCCTGACACTCACCCCTTACATATTTGTAAACATTGATGAGGTCACCCCTCAGTCTCCTTTTCTCCAAGCTAAAGAGACCCAGCTCCCTCAGCCTTTCCTCATAAGGGAGATGTTCCACTCCCTTCATCATCTTCGTAGCTCTGCGCTGGACTCTTTCGAGCAGTTCCCTGTCCTTCTTGAACTGAGGGGCCCAGAACTGGACACAATACTCCAGATGTGGCCTCACCAATGCAGAATAGAGGGGGAGGAGAACCTCTCTTGACCTACTAACCACACCCTTTCTAATGCACCCCAGGATGCCATTGGCCTTCTTGGCCACAAGGGCACATTGCTCGCTCATGGTCATCCTCCTGTCTACCAGGACCCCCAGGTCTCTTTCACCTACACTACTCTCCAGCAGTTCAGCCCCCAACCTGTACTGGGACATCGTGTTGTTCTTCCCCAAATGTAAAACTCTGCACTTCCCCTTGTTGAATTTCATCATGTTTCTCCCCGCCCAACTCTCCAACCTATCTAAGTCTCTCTGAATGGCAGCACAGCCTTCTGGTGTGTCAGCCACTCCTCCCAGCTTAGTGTCATCAGCAAACTTGCTGAGGGTACATTCTATACCCTCATCCAGGTCGTTGATGAAGATGTTGAACAACACCGGTCCCAGTACCGACCCCTGAGGGACTCCGCTAGTCAAAAGAAACTAGTTTAGACAAGATTGAACTTGTTTGCTTTATGGTTCTTGCTGGGAGTGTCCAGTGAGGTCTTTGGTTCTGTGGCCTTTCCATGCTCTTCTTACAAGCTTTACCACCTGACAGAATTATTCTAAGATGACAGCCAGCCAGATAATATTCTTGGATCTCCATTGGAATGATTGTCTGGCACAGACACCAATTCCCTGTCAAAAGGGATTATTTTTTTCCTTTTGGGTATTTGTGTGCTAAACCAAGATGCTGAATTCTGCCTTACATGAAGGTGATCTGATACTTGATTGTTACAAAGAAAGTAGGATTTCCTGTTAATTGTATTTCACAGGTTTTTCTTTTGTATGCCTTAATGGAAGAGATTTTTTTAAGTCCTCTAACAAGTACACAGTATATATTCCTTGCAGGAATGACTTGGTAGACCAGTATTTTTAGTTTTAATTTAAAGGCTTTTACTGTCTGCTACATTCAATGTAGCTGAGAAAGTGAATAATGTGATCCAAATAATCTAAAGATAGAAGTATCAGGACTTCTTCAGATGAAACCTGCATCTTAATAAAAACCTTAAGTAGCTTTACAACCTAAATAGTTTCTTTCTTCATGGTTTTTTTTAATTCCCTACTCTGAGGTTTGGGGTGAACTTCACTTTAAACTTCTATGGGGTGGGAGGGAGGGGAAAAACACGTTTTCAGTGTAACTTTTTTGGGAAAGATAGCACCATCTGAGTTTTCAAAGGGTCCTTGTATTGCTTCAGTTATTGTTCTAGCTTTAGCTACTATGAATTAATTTTAAATACTTTTCCAGTAGTGTGAACTTCTATGTACTAGGTGCTCAAGACAAGAAAAGGGTTGCTCATTCTTTTTAGCTCAAGGTTGGGGAGGATCAGGTAAGTATAGTAATGAGGAGAACAGGTTTTCTATTTTAAAATGTTACAAAGTATGTCAGTGGTGAAAATAACAAAGTATCATCCATACAGAAACTCTTTTGGGACTAGCATAATTAAAATGGCAAACTCTCAAAACCTCTGAATACATACTCCAGTAAAGATGTGTGCTGCAGTCAGTCAGTGAATTTCTGATACAGTGGAATATTGGAGAATATTCCAATACTGCTTGTAAGACAGTATTCTACCTATGGGTCTGCAACACACCCTCCTCTTCCTGGGAGGTGTGAATGTAATTGTGCTATCAAGGCTTCTAGCTGTTAACCTGTTCCTATTGGTAGTTCTCTTAAGTCAGGTGTTTAAATTTCAGTGTATTGTTGGAACTATCAAAAAGACTGCTTTTCTTTTCCCTTACCCCATTCAAGCTAACTCCAATCTTAGCCTCTACATGCTTTCTGTCTATAAATTTAGAGGAACAATATTTTGCTGAGTGGTCCTTTTTTTTTTTTTGTCCTAGAAAAAAACCCAAGTGTTATTCCCCTTCATTTTGTTCTAGTTACTTTAATACACTATCAGTGGGTGTTCAGGGAATTGTTAAACTTCTTTTAAAGTATTCCTAGAATAATTTTGGAGTAGAACCGCCAGTTAGCATAGGTAGTTCTTTGTGTTTAGAACTATAAAGATCAGAACCATAGAATGATTTGGTTTTGAAGGGACCTTTAAAGGTCCTGACCTTGAATGTTTCCAGAGATGGGGAATCTTTTACTTCTCTGGGCAACCTGTGCTGGTGGTTCACCACCTTCAT